TGCGCTTCCCAGGCTGAGTCGAGTAACAGGGGGCTGCGTTTAACGCTTGAGTCGAATAACAAGGGGGCTGCGTTTAACGCTTGAGTCGAATAACAGGGGGCTGTGTTTAAACGATCGTTAGGTCAGTAAGGGTAAATTAGATAATTGATTTATTTTAATTATTCTTATTTAATTTAGTGGCTGTGTTTAGTAAAAAGGGGGCTGTATATAGAATTACCCTTCAATTTTTTGGTATGATCTTGGCCCAAAAACCAAGTCTTGACAGCGTGTCGTTTTGACCCTAGCTTGCCCAACACCGTGCCTTCACGCTTGGCTGACAGAGCGGAAATCATCCGGAGTCCGAAGATAGAGGGTCCTTTGGCCATCACTGCTGCACGATAGGAGGATTGAGTGATCGGAGTTGCTGTGGTAGAGAACAGCGGCACCGATGGAGGAGCGGAAGCCGTCTACTGCCGCTGCCATCTGATGGGCCTTCGTCCGTCGTTGCCTGAGATGGGTGGTGTTCTTTGGATGTTCCAGGCTTGCGGGTCGCAAGTCGTGAAGAGACCTTGGCCGGTCATCTCCTGCAGGACTCTGGGGGCCCTGGCTAACGACCTGAACATCAGCGCCGGAATGCATTCGACGGCTGACGGGGGCCACACTTCTGGCTTTCCTAGCGACGGCGGCTACGGCTTGGAGCAATGGCTTGGTGAGATCCCGGCATGGAGGTCTGAAGCAACGGTGGCGGATTCCTGTCTATAGCGCACGCTGGCGGCAACATCTGCGGTTCAGATCTTTAAAGTTCCAGAATTGAAATTCCAGATTTTTGCATTTGGATCCGAAATTCCGAAATTGTGATGAGTTTTTGGGCATTCTGAGAGGAATCTCACCAGATTTTTTTCATTCCTTTACCACATTTTGAATCACGGGCCTGAAAAACTGCTAAAAACCTTCCATTTTCTGAATTTTTTTGGTTAATTTCTACTAAAGTGATCTGAGAGACAACAGAAGCCCTCAATGAAAGCACCAATGTTGGTCCAAAATAGGATGCTCGTAGGCTTTTAGGAAAGCTACCTAAGAACACTCAAGTAAGAATCAAGAAAGTAATATGAATAAGAAAAGTTGCTCAAGAGTTTGGTTGCCAGAAATAGCATATTGAAATTGCTTCCCCTAATCTGAATTACAACCTGACTTTTATAGACGTATACAAATCATAACCGCTATCGATAATAATGACTAATTAATTAAAACATTAATACGAAATTAAATACATAATTAAACAACGCATTAATTGCTTGACCGTTAATTTTCGTAGCTGATCGGTCAGCCGGATTGGCAGGCTCCAGGCTGTAGACTTGGATTCACGGGTCCAAGTTCTGGGCTTGGGCCGATTAGGCTCTGGGCCTAGTCCCATAACTCCATCACGAAGTGTTGATCCAAAATAGGACGCTCGTAGCCTCGTAGGCTTTTAGGAAAGCTACGTTAAACACTCAAGCAAGAATCAAGAAAGTAAGAACGAATATGGAAAGTAGCTAAAGAGCTTGATAGCCAGAAATTTCATGTCTAGTATTTGGAAAATGACTTGCCTTTTATAGGCGTTTACAAATCGTATCTGCTATCAATAATAATGACTAATTAATTACAACATTAATACGAAAATTAAATACATAATTAAACAACGCATTAATTGATTGACCGTTACTCTTCCTGATTGGCAGGTCGACCGAGCTGGCAAACTTCTGGCTAGGCTGTAGGCAGGCTCCAGGTTGTGGGCCTGGAACCCACGGTCCAAGCTCGGGGCTTGGACCGATTAGGCTTTGGGCCTAGTCCCATAACTCCATCAAAGGTGAAGATTAGGCCTGAGACCGGTTCGGTTCTTGTTAAATTTCGATGGAACCGTATTAAAAATTATAGTTGTTAAATTCAATTCGGTTCTAGTTAAAAATGTAGTTGTTAAATTCGGTTCACTTCTGGTTAAATTTGGTTCGGTTCTTACCTTTTTTCGGTTCCTTATAAAAATTTATTATCCTCCTAAAATAAACACATTTTACTTTTAGTTACATAAAAATTCAAATTTTCAAATCATGAAATTATGACCATTACATTATACATATGATATTCCAATGTTCAATTATCACAAAAATATCCACGTGCAAACATTAAATTTAAACATAAAAAAATATAAAGATTTAAATAGGCATCAATTGTCAAGCAGAAAGGTTTAATAACTCCAAGGTACACATTCAATAGCAGATAGTTCAACCCCAAAATAATACGATAGTATTCTTCTACTAGTAATGCACCACGAGTAAAAAGTATGTAATAATAAACTGACCAGTAATATTAGTAATTTACTTTGAACAAATAACAATGTAATCAGCTAAATATTAATTCCTTTTTAGGTGAACTCAAATAACAAATACAATTACAAATTACAAACAAACAATAAATATAAAAGTGGACTAAAGTAGTAAAATAACAACTCCTCGAATTGGTCCGGTCCAAAATATATAAGGTATATTATGCAAGACAAATATTCATGACAAGAATTTTCTGTCCAGAACGCCGACTGACCACCTCCATTTGTGATCGTGTTCTACATGAAGTGTAAGATCATATCCACCAAATTTCAGCTTAAAATTAAATCGGAAAGTGAGTTAATTAAAATATTGAAAAACATTGCATTTTTATACTACATATATATATTGACATAGTGTTTTTCAAATAATTTATTTAAGAGAATATTACCCGGAATAGGATTAAAAAGGTTTGAAAATTCCAAAATAGGACTGTCATATTTTTATTTCCAAAATAGGACTAATTACTGCCATGTTTTGGCAGTACCAGACTTCAAACATGACAGTATTTTCCAAACTTGGCAGTAGTTACTCCTATTTTGGGAATAAAAAACATGAAGGTCCTATTTTGGAATTTTCAAACGGTTTTAGTCCTATTTTGGGAACTTTCCCTTTATTTAATTGACTTCTCGATTGAATTTTAAGCTCAAATTTGGTGGACATAATCTATATTTCATGAAAAACAAGCTCACAAAATTTCATCAAAAAATTTCATCCAGAAGCACATCAAATGAAGATTACTATGCAGCGTATAAAAATGAGAATGAAGAGAAAGATTGTTACACATGGTACATTCTCATAGTTTGTTAACACTCTACAATGAGAATGTTACCTCATGGTACAATCACTTTATCATTTTTAATTTAGAGCAATAAAAGACCTTAATTAACCACATGAGGTGATTGGCAGAGCTATGGTACACTCTATTTAGAGCAATATAGAGACCAACAAGTATAGTGATTGTACCATGAGGTAACATTCTATTTAGAGCAATATAGAGACCTTAAAAATCTATATTTAATTTAGAGCAATAAAATGATAAAGTGATTATACCATGAGCAATAAAAAACCTTAATTACCACAGGTAGAGCGTTTATGGTACACTCTACTGCTACATTCAATTGCTACATTCTCATAGTTTGTTAACAAAATATAGTACGTCGAAGGTTAGTGATAAAAATCCCATTCAACATGTTTCTTTCTTTTAAAACATTTTTGTGACGTATTTCTAATCTTTCTTTTGATTCAAAAAAATAATTATTTTTTCAAACATGTAGAGTCTTTATTTCTGATTTGCATTTAGGAAGAGTCTTGAACACTTTCTAATTTGTTAACGGATCAGGAGTTAATGGTCGCAGAGTTTCACATTTTATAAACCATTTATAAAGAATAGCCAAAAAAAGTAGAGGAATTTCATTAATTAGATATTCATTACTTACAATGTCTAATTTTAAAAATAAAATATTTAGACTTTGACAATATTGCGTTATTTTAATACTTTGAGATCTTCTAAAACAAATGTTCACAATTTCCCTTTTAATTTTTTAACGGTGGTGAATTTTTGAAATATCAAGCCTATTTTGTAAATTTTGTTATTTTTTATTCTCTATTGTTTATGATTAACAAAAAGGTGACATAATATTTGCTTTAAAATATTGTGGACAAATAAAATAATTCATAATTTCTAGAATCGTTAAGGAAGAATATTCCATTGCCTAAGAAAAGTCTTTTCAAATGTTAACTTCAAGAAAAAGTTAAAAAGAATGTTTGCAAACAATAGTGCTTAAATTAAGGCTATGTTTGGCATGCAAAAGTAAGTGTCTTCTAGCTTTTGTACTATTTAAAAAGTTCTTAAAAGCTTTTAGTTGTGTGTTTGACATTCAAATTATTAAGAGCATCTATAAAAATAAAAGATCTTTTTTGAGATGCTACAGTGAGTAGCATCTCAGATAAGTCTGTAGCTTCTAGCATTAATTAGTCCCGACAGCTTGTATACCAAACGGAGTTAAACCAAACAGTCAGCTTTTTATCGAATAGCTACTGCATTTTTCTTTTAAAATCTTTTCAGTCACTAAAAGCTAATAGTTACTGAAAAGTTCATAAAAGTATCTTTTCAGCTAGTTGTGCCAAACATACCCTTAAGTACTTTAAAACTAAAAACAAGAAATATGTGGATGAGGGATTTCAAGTGTTTTATTTTTACCAAATACTAACTTTTGCTTCTCAAAACCATTTTTTATCAAATAGTATTATGTTTTGCTGTTAATTACATAGTACTTTTCATGTAATGTATCTGGAATTAATTAATTACTTAAACTAGAAACAAACACAAACGCTCATTATATTTAGAGAAATAAAAGACCTTAATTAACCACATAATGGAATTTGATCAGTTTGATATATTCCCCTAATCCCCCAACGCGTATAGAGAAAAGAAGCTTCAGAGCTAGTACCTAGACTTGATCTTAAACAGGGACTTGAAACAAGTCCAGTCTATGGTGTAGTTGTTGGGAAAGATATGTTTAAATATTAACAATACGAAGTATTAAGAAAACATCCACAGTAGCTATAGAGTTGATCATCTTAAGCAGGGAATTGAACAAGTCCAGTCCAGAATGACTATAAATATACACTCCCCTCCCTCTTGCTCTATCATCAATTATTCAACAACTTTTAACTATATAATCCTCAAACGCCTTTCATTCCACTTAAGAGAATGGCTTTTCGGTTCTTCATCTTTGCTATTTTGGCTATTACTATAGCTTCTTTTGGCAGTGCATCTGATCCCAGTCAATTACAAGACTTCTGTGTTGCAATTAATGATTCCAAAGCTGCTGGTATATATCCATCTCATATACCCAATTCAATTTCTTTAATTAGTGTTACTTTGGAGTTTGGACTTTAATTATGTCTATTAGTATATATGTTGATGTTTCTGTAATAATATAATATGCTTGTAGAAGGTAGTCACTCACTCTGCCACAAATTGATGTGCACTTTTTATGGGTCAACACAATTCAATTTAGAGTAACTATGATTTAAGTTTTCCGCTTCAATAAAGCTTAAGTTTTTATGGGTGAGCTTAGGCACATCACATGCCTAAAGTAAAGCACCAACTATTTCCATTAAACTTTATTAAATTTCTGTTATTATTGGTCACAAAAATTATTAGTTTTCTTCTTTGCACAGTTATCGATCATATTACTTTTAGTTTTTATTTCATCAAATTTGAAATAGTCTAAAGCGATGAAATTACATTGTGAATTAGTTCTTTGTATATATTACCTATGTATTCTTTTATTTTACAACAGTTTCCTTTTTGGACAATGTTTTAATCTTTGCAACTCTTCCCTTTAATGTGACGCTCTATTTATTAAAATAATTAAATACTCTTAATTACATTTTTCCTCAACTACTTTATCTTGCACGTGGAAAACCCTGATGATTGGTTTAGAGATTATATTTTGAAAATTATTCTAAAGTCATTCTAAAGCTAAGTCATAGTTTTTTGCATTGAAGAAAGTGATTTGTTGGTTTTTCATGACTATTACTCCTTTATATGTGTACATTTAAAAGCTGACTTTCCCTTTTTTATGGTAGTGTTTGTCAATGGAAAGATCTGCAAGAATCCGACAGATGTCGATGCGGGGGACTTTTTTCTCTCAGCGGGCCTTAACAAACCCGGAAATACATCAAATCAGCTTGGATCTGCAGTTTCAGCTGTGACTGTGGATACCCTACCTGGGTTGAACACTCTCGGCATTTCACTAGCTCGTATTGATTTTGCTCCCAACGGGGTCGTTCCTCCGCACACCCACCCTAGAGCATCGGAAGTCCTCGTGCTCTTGAAGGGTACTCTATACGTTGGATTTGTCCTTTCAAACCCTCAACCGGGAATGAAGAATAAGCTCTTTACTAAAATGTTGTACCCCGGAGATGTTTTTGTGTTTCCACAAGGCCTTATTCATTTTGAGCGCAACATCGGAAAGTCAAACGCTATTTCCTTATCAGGCTTAAGTAGCCAAAATCCAGGAGTTATTACGATCGGCAATGCTGTTTTTGGATCTAATCCACCCATCGATTCGGACGTTCTCACTAAAGCACTTCACGTCGACACCAAAGTTATTGAGTATCTTGAATCACAATTTTAGTATGATGACCATAAATAATTAGTACTTCTGATATCATGTAATAATAAACTCATGTAATAATACTTCCTTTATAGTATACTTTTATACATATATGTTATATGTATAATGTATAACATAATGTGAACACTCATAGGCATGCCTTCCGCTAGAGTTGATTGTCTTGGAATAAATTTGCTCTCTTTATTTCATTTGGAAAAGTACTTCGTATTAATCTTCACATTTGTTCAACTTTCATTTGACCACCTTTTATAAAGTTTATTAACACATAATTAAAGTCACCGTTCTCTGTTGGTAATCGTGAAAGTTAAACTATTGCATTTAAAAAATGGAGGTAGTAATCAGAAGCCACGTGAAAAGCTCAGAAGAGATGGTATTTAAGTCATCAGCGGAAATATGGATCGAGTCATTCATCAATGATTCATTCAACTTCAAACGACATGGGCAATCAAAGGCCGAGTTGTTCATATTTCAATCGATCATCCCTGCAGATGTTGACACTTCATCAGTTCATCTATATGTGTGTTAATTTGTGTGACAAATTTGACATGATATAGCAGTAGCATTCAAGCGTAACTTTTGTATTTGGGGTGGATATTTGTGTGATGGAGTGATCTCTTTATTCTCTTATCATATTTTTCTCATCTTCTTTCTTCTCGTGTTTTTGTTTTTATATCCTTGTGTGTGTGTGTTCATTTTATCCTTTATATTCTTTTGTTTTTGTATATTTTGCCTCTTTTTGTACTATCTTTTTTATCATAGCGATAAGTCCGTGTTTCAACACGCATTTGTGATAGTTATGGACAAAAGGAAATTTCACTGGAAAAAGTGGAGAGAGCTTTGTTTTCCTTTTGATGAAGATGGACTACGCTTTAAGTCCTTTAATTTGTAGATATTCAGAATGCTTTTTCACTAAGAATATTGTGGATTTGGAGGAATAAATCTACTTAATGGGCACAGTTTATGCATGCCAGATATCCTAGAGGTAATAACATGATAGCTAAATAACCTAAATAACCTTATTCACCTATTTGGAAGCGTATTTGTGATATTCATTTGCTTGGAATGGAGCTGAGAAGAAGGTATCTTTCAATGGAACCCCTCGTTGTATGGCAGCTTTACATTATCCTCTGCATATCACGAAATCAGAAGCACAAGATCGGTCACTTTCTCTTTCACTCACATATGGCATCCCAAACAAATTTTACCTATTAAGCTTTTCATGTGGAAGCTTTTTCACAATATTCTCCCCCTACCTGGCAATCTTGCTCGCTTTAATATCTGTTCTTTTCCCATTCAATGCCCCTTTTGCAAAAACAGTGAAGTTTCCACATCCCATATTTTTGTTCACTGTCCCAAGGTCAAGCCTATTTGGGAATACTACACGGAGATTATTTTTTATTCCTATTCCCACTGGGAGCTTTTCTGTTAGGCAATTTTGTTTTGCTTGGTGGCTTGAAGCTGGATTTAAGAGTATTCTGGACATTTATAAGCATATTATCCCAGGGGTTATACTTTGGCATATTTGGAAATCCTACGCAACCTATACTTGAATAGTAAAGGAGAGAGTGGTATTAATATCTCCTGGAATATTCGATCCTTTTTAAACTACCGGTCTGCTAGTCTAAAGCCATTGAAAAATCAAGCTCCCCCGGAATTTCTATTCGAAGAAGGCCTTATTTCTCCTACTACTAGATTCAAATCTCGAAATTGCTCTAAGGTTATTTAATTTGGCACAAACCGAGGAAATCTTATAAGTTAAATGTTGATGCGGCTTACCGTCCAAATCGAGCTGCTGGTGGGGCGATTCTGCGAAATGGCGGTGGGGATTTAGTCTTCGCCGGATGCTTCCCAATCTCTGCAAAATCCGCTCTGGAATCTAAACTAAGTGCTCTCTTCCTTGCGGTTCACTGTATTGTAGCATCTGGCTATAACTATGTTAGAAGTTGAATTTGATTCTTTAGCCTCGATCCTCCTCTTCCAAGCTGGTTCTTCTTCTCCGAAATATGCTCACATAACAGATCCTCTTTGCCGGATAGCTATCTCTTCGAACATTTCCTTCTCCCATTGTTATCCGGAGGTTAATCATGTTTCTCAGATGCTCGCTCAGGAATGCCATATGTGAGTGAAAGAGAAAGTGACCGATCTTGTGCTTCTGATTTCGTGATATGCAGAGGATAATGTAAAGCTGCCATACAACGAGGGGTTCCATTGAAAGATACCTTCTTCTCAGCTCCATTCCAAGCAAATGAATATCACAAATAGGCTTCCAAATAGGTTTTTTTTTTTTTTTTTTTTTTTTTTTAACCCCGGAAGGTCAACCACCAAAATCAGTGGGGTAAATGTCGGGGAGCATTTACCTGGTATTATTAAAAACCAAGAACGAGATACAATAGCTTCCAAATAGGTGAATAAGGTTATTTAGCTATCATGTTATTACAAACTTTGACCGGCAGAAGGATTAAAGAATGACAATAAATGATGTTTGTTTTTTACACTTTTACTCTTCATCCTAAAAATAGATGTCTTTAAGTTGGTGGAAAAAAAGTAAAAGTAAAGGTAATGTTGTCACTTTATTCTTATTTACATACCTAATATAGAAAATGAGAAATCATTTTGGGACAACCAATATAGGAAATTTTGCAAAACAAATTGAGACGGAGGGAGTATATTTTCTCAGACTGTCCAGTTTCCTAATCGGTTACTGGGTGCGTGTCTTTTGGATAAACAAGGTTGTCCGAATGTCCGCTTTTATTTTGTATTTTTATTTTACTTGGGTCCGGTCTACCCCCCCCCCCCCCCCCAAGTATCTTTAATTTAAATTTTCATGTATTTTTGGAAAGGGTATGCCCTTTTAGGAGAGGTTTGTGTCTGGTCCCCCTCTTCATCTGTATTTCTCCTTTTTATTAATAAAATCCAGTAGATGTTCCCCGGACATTTGCCCCACCGACTTAGGTGGTTTACCTACCGGGACCTTAAAAAAAGCGTCACATGACTCATAATTAGCTCAAGTCATGATTTACCGGGTTTTGGTGTGTGTTTTGGTATTTTTAGAGTCAGAATCAGGGAATTAAGTCTGACACTGACATTTGAGGAGTAATCAAGAGATTTGGGACGCATTTGAGAGTTGATTAGGAGCATTGGAGGTCAACGAGGTGTTAGAGATGAAGTCTTGAAGACAAAAGAGCTCTAAAATTGGCTACGAGATTAAAAAAGGGACGAATAGAGCTTGAAAAAGGCAATTAGGATGACTTTTTGTCACTCGTTCAAGCATATCTTTTTGTGGAAACATCAAAAGGACATGATTCAAGTTTCATATGGAACGTAACTTCAAGGTATACAATTCATATGAAGACACCATGACAAGAATGTGAGAGCCTCAAGGTGAAAACAGATGATGAAGTCAGATAATTGTTGTTGAGATTTCAGGATACGACCTTCCACCATTGTATTCATATCTTTTAATTGCATGACTCAATCCCAGCTTTTCGAGTTGTGGTGGATAGAAGATTGCATTATCTACAACTTTGGTGAAGAAAGAAAAGTCAGATTCGGATGGGAGAAGTGCATGCCGCGCGCACAAAGAAAGCACGTCGTGCACGGAAGAAGAAATCACGCAGAAGCTACTAGAGGCCGGCCACACACACCGTGCGTGGCAATTTTTCCGCTTTTTTGCTCCAGACGCATGGACGCCATGCACGCCGTGCGTGGTTGCCGTGCGTGCGCTCTAGGGATCCTTTTTCGGACATGATTATTCCATTTTCTTTTTAAACAGCCTGTAAATCCTTGTTTTGAGGGAGGGAGATTATAGAGAGACCTATGACAAAATTTCGAGTACTTTTCCGCTTTAATATTCAAGACCATGAGATTATTCGTAAGTTTCATCTTTTTAAATAATGACAATTAATTCTTTTCTTCTCAATTCTGTTGATTTCTCAATTATGAATTCTGAGTAGTTTTAATTAGAGATTTGAGATTGATGAATGTGTTAATTATGATCTAGGGTTAATTTCTTGATGGTTTAATTGCGTGATCTATATTTAATTTGTGTTTGAATAATTTAACTGATGTCTTTTGTAACCTAGTACAGCAAGTAGGATTATAATCGCATGTGGAATAAATTAAGAGAAATCTAATTTGTTCTAGGAGACTTTCACATACACTTAATCGTTCGCTAAGAGATTACTAACGGTTAGGGAGCCGTATGCTTGCTTGTTTTGGCAATAAATTAAAATCATGTTGCATGAGAGATCAGCCTGGTTCCCCAAATTATTGTACTCTACGCTGCGAGAGCGGTAAGAATTTAATATTGACCAGCGTTGCTTGATGTGAGTTTTCTCGCACTTAAAATGTAGAAGTAAAGTGGTAAAAGTACGAGTATTGTCTCCACAGGGACGAACAAAAGAGAAATAAGAATTAACTAAATTCTGCGATGAAAAAGAAATAAAAATAAATGCAATGGCACGAGATTTGACTGATGGGAAGATTGGAAAATTAAAGTGCAATTAAACGATTAAAAAGTTTGGTTCTTTCTAATTAACGACGAAGGGAACAAGGATTGATTGCGGGGTAACCAGATTTATAGTAGATCAGACTTAATTACATGAAATTAATTTAATTGAGCCTAGCTAATCATTACTAAGTTCTTACCGCTCTCGCAACGTAGAGTACAATAATTTAGGGGACCAGACTGATCTCTCATGCGACAGGTTCCTAAATTATTATC